AAACTAAGATCATGGCATCTGATCCCATCACTTCATGGCAAATAGATGGGGAAACAGTGGAAACAGTGACAGACTTTATTTTGGGGGGGCTCCAAAATTACTGCAGATGGTGACTGCAGCCATGAAATTAAAAAAAATGCTTACTCTCTGGAAGAAAATTTATAACCAACCTAGATAGCATATTAAAAAGCAGAGACATTACTTTGCCAATAAAGGTCCATCTAGTCAAAGCTGTGGTTTTTCCAGTAGTCATGTATGGATGTGAGAGTTGGACTATAAAGAATGCTAAGCACTGAAGAATTGATGCTTTTGAATTGTGGTGTTGGAGAAGACTCTTGGGAGTCTTGAGAGTCCCTTGGACTGCAAGGAGATCCAACCAGTCCATCCTAAAGGAGATCAGTCCCGAATATTCATTGAAAGGACTGATGCTGAAGCTGAAGCTCTAATACCTTGGCCACCTGATGTGAAGAACTGACCTGATGCTGGGAAAGATTGAAGGCAGGAGGAGAAGTGGACAGAGGATGAGTTGGTTGGATGGCATCACCAACTCGATGGACATGAGTTTGAGCAAGCTCCAGAAGTTGGTGATGGACAGGGAGGCCTGGCATGCTGCAGTCCATGGGGTCGCAAAGAGTTGGACACAACTGAGCAACTGAACTGAACTGAAACATTCATTTCTCTTTATTTTCCAAACTTCCTTTTGTTTTGTGAATTTTTTAGGCCCTAAACATTTTCACAAGCCCTGGAAAATGCCCAGTTTCCCCCAGCTAGGGACTAGTGATGGAGTGTCTGGGAGCGTGAGGGCTGCAGATGTTGAATTCTGAATGTTCTACAGTTTGCAGGAGCTGAAGCGCATGGACCTGTGGGGGAAAAAGGATGAGGTTGTTTTCCAGCATCCTGTATTCAGACTGCAGAGGCCTTAATTTCATCCCTCATTTTAGAGAGGGGGAAATCCAATGCCAAGGGGCTAAGGACACCCAGGAGGTCACCTATGAGCTAGAGGCAAATACTGGCCCAACATGGGCACTTTGCCTCCCTGGGGTCAGACATAGAAGCAGGGAGGCTTTTCAGGTGTGCTGTGCTGAGTCGCTCAGTGGTGTCGGGCACTTTGTAGCCCCCATGGACTGTAGCCCGCCAGGCTCCTCTGTCTGTGGGATTCTCCAGGCAAGGATACTGGAGTGGGTCCATGCCCTCCTCCAGGGGATCTTCCCCGCCCAGGGATCGAACCCGGGTCCCTCGCACTGTAAGGCGGATTCTTGACCAGCTGAGCCACCAGGGAAGCCCTGGGGGCCACAGGGACTGTGACCGTTTAAACCGGTGGGGGGCGGGGGGCGGTGTGGCAGCAGGATCGGGTCCTGGGCTCGGCCCTGACCATCGGCCCCTTGTCGTCCCCACCTCCTCGCCAGGGGACCGCTCGGCACCTGGTACTTTTCCATAGGGTCTTGAGGGGAAGACTCGGCCTCCCTGTCCCTCTGCGGGGCGCTGGGGTGCACTCTGGCCCAAGCCGCAGTCGGACCCCGAACTGAGCATGCGCAGTGTGGTCCGCGTCCGGTGTGCGCCCATCCCCCACTCTGGGGTAACCCATCAGCCCCCGGGAGCTTGCCTGCCGACCCGGGCCCTCCCGGCCTGAACTGCGCCCGCTGCTACGTCCTTGTAGCAGGCCGGCCCTCAGGGGCGGGGCCTCGCGCGGGGAGGGCGGGGCCTGAACACAGCGGGGAGGGCGGGGCCTGAGTGTGGCGGGCCGCGCGCGGCCCCTTTAAGGCGCGGCCGGGGCGGGCCCCGCGGCGCGGCCCCTTTAAGGGTTGGCCTACGTGGCAGCCGCTGGAGCCGCGGACGCGGAGTGAGGCTGGCCGCCGGGCACTTCCTGTGGAGGCCGCAGCGGGCGCGGGCGCCGACGGGCCGAGCGCCGAGGGAGCGAGCGAGCGAGCGAGCGAGCCGAGCGTCCCGCCGCCGCCATGGGACGCTCCCCCTCCCCCAGCCGAGGCCCTGCCTCCCGGGCTCGCCGCCTGCCCGGCCGGGGGCACCCCCAAACTCGTCCTCGGGGGCCCAGCCCGCCCTTGCGCCGCCTGCGCGTCGGGCGCCCTGGGTGTGTTCGCCGGGCCCGGGCTTCGGGCGCCCAGCTCTGTGGGCCTGTCCTCCCTGCCTGATCCGGCCCGGCTCGTCCTAGACGCCGAGGGGCGCCAGCGGCTGTCTCCGCGCCTCCCGAGAAGGGGCCTGAGGCCCCGGGGTGGGATGGGGGATGCTTGGGGAGCGTCCTCGCCTTTCTGCACTGCTGGGTCGTCCCTGCAAGCTTGTCCTTCCACTGGGCATTCTTAGGGGGCGGATCCTGAACAGGGGGGTTGGTCAAACTGGAGGCCTGAGGGGGTCCTCCCGGTGGAAAGGGGGGCGCCCTGGTAGGCACCCCCACTGCAGAAAGCCACGGCACTGTTTCTTTGCTCTGTCCCAGACGTGTTGGGTTCACGGGGTCCCTTTGACCCGTCCCTTCCATCTTCCTTCCCTGTGTGGACTCTGCCCCGCGTTGAAATGAATGGGTATCTGTCTGTACACACAGCCGGGGGGAGGGGGACGCCTACCTTCCTGTTGGAGGAGTCCAGGAGTGTCCAGGTGGCATTCCTAGCAACAGGGAAGCGAGCCCTTGAAACAGGCCACTGAGTCACTGCTAAAGGTGCTCGGAATCTAGACGGACAGAACCAGGTACTGCAAAGGGTCCTCCCACCCGTCTCATTCGACCAAGCTTGTCCTGGAGACCATGGCGGTGATTCTTTAGCCGTGCACGTTTTACTTCTGAAAGTGTCCCGTTATGTCTACAGACCTGTAGGAAGAGCCGCGGCCGGCCCAACCGCCATGCTTTCTTTGGTTACTTAATGGGTGTGTGGCTTCGTCGGAGTTAAAAGCAGTGAGGTTTAAGTTTCTGTTTTTATGGGGGTGGTTATCATTCATCCTGCTACAAGGCTGGGCTCCCTGGAAGGTGTGTGTGTGTGTGTGTGTGTGTGAGAGAGATTTTTAAACAATAGTTAATTGAGCTGTTTTCTAATCGGTTATTGGTGAACAAGATTTCCTGTCGTTCCCCTGACGGATGAGATCTCTCTAGCGTGGCCTCCCCGTTGGGTTCTCCCAGCCCCACTTTCCTGTGAGCTGTTTATGTTATAAAACAGTGTGGGGCTAAAACAGTCAACTTGAAGAAATGTTTTTCCCTCAGGTCATGATTTTGTGTTTACAATCTAAAAATTGTATCCCTTGCAAAAACAATTCGTATAGAAAGCTCTCAAAAACCAAGCCAGCCGGCTTTGTCCGCTTTCATTGACATGATTTTAGTGACCCAGTTTTGTTTCCCCAAGTAGCCGCCACCTAAGGAGACGGCTCCATGCAGCCGTGGTAGCCGTAAGAGCCTCGTACAACTCTCTCTGCAGCCCGGAAAAACCCCAGTTTTGCAAGTGAATTTCATAACTGAATCTAGATAAAATGTCTCCACTCAAGTTGCTGCCAACTATCAAATGATAAACCCTCCTCCTGCCAAAAAAAAAAAAAAAAATCAGACTCTCTTTACGTAATCCTTCCTTTTTTTCCTCCATGCATTTTGTTTGCTTTAAATGAAAGCAGCAGAATCTTGGAACCGAAAGGCCCTCGAGGGGCGCATAGGATCAACCTGTACTGGTTTCACTGCTGAGGCTCCTGGGGCCACAGCCCTGGGCAAAGCCCAGTGTCACACGCAAGATGCTTCTCATGCCTGGTGTTTTTCTGTAAGAGCACGCCGCCTAAAATCTGGGAAAACAAGGCTGCATCTGCCGGGCAGGGCAGGCTCCTGCGGTCAGTTTTTGAGGGCCAGAGCCCACCTTGGTGGTGACAGCTGTCCGCAGACACCTCTGTGCCCTTCTGTGGGCGACTCGGGAGGGCGGGGCCAGGCTGTGCTGTAACCACCGAGGTTAGGAGCTGCTTCTGCCACCCGGCCTGGTGTGAGAGGAAGACGTGGATGGGTGACGGGGCACAGGGCAAAAGCGACGGCTTCCTATGGACAGAATCTGGCCCGGCTGGGCTGGCGGTTTCGTTTTTGACGGTGATCCACATAATGTCAAAACAGCTGCCAACAGTAAAGGTGCAGAAGGTCTGGGCTTTTAAGACGAAAATGATCTCGCTTGAAGGGATTGGGGAAATGTCATGAAAGTCACTGATGTGACCGATAAATATAAACACGACATATCTGTCTTTTCTAACCTCATCTTCAGAAAACAAAAGCAGAAATGAAGGGACAGAAAGTCGGCCAGAAGTGAGCGGGGTTTCAGAAGGGCTGTGTGTCCCGAGAGCTACGACGGTAATCCGGAACCTCCAGTGCTCCGGCGCGGGGCCATGTTGTCCGTGCACACTCGTTGTGTTGACCGTGCACACTTGTTGTGTTGCCCCAGGGTCCCGGGAGCTCGGGCCACAGTGCTTCCCTCTTCAGATGCAGAGAGGGAGGTCTGTGTGGTCTCGCGCGGCTCGTGGTGGGCCGCCACATTGAGTCAGCAAGCTGCAACCTTCCTTCAGGCCTGCAGAGGCATGAGTGTGGGTGAGTGGTCCGGCTCCTTGCGGCCAGCAGGCTCAGCTGCCTCTTTGGCATCAGGCTCCTTGCCCTGGGTGGCAGGGACAGCGTCCTCCTGCTGGAGAAAGTGCTGAGAGAGCTGTCTGCGGAAGCTGGCATTCAGAAGCCATCTGAGCCTGGGTCTGAAGGGGCCAGAGACTAATGAGCTCAGCAATCCAAAATGACGCCCGTCCCCTGCAGCTGGGACTCACGGCCAGGCTGCAGGCTGTGACTCCCAAGCACATTTGCCCCAGTAAGTAATATTAGCACTTAATGGGTTGTGTCACCAAGGTGACAGATAAGCTGCATGAGACCTTGCTGTCCGTGTGGCCTTTGGTATTTCCACCTGTCCTCTGGCAGGACAGAGCCAGTCCTGGGCGCTCTCACCTTCGGGAGCTCCCTTTGGCCTCTGGTCAAGCGCTGGAGAGCGGGGATGGCCCTGGCGGGACACTGAGTCGAGCCCCCATAGCCCCCAGGTCTCGGGCTGTGCCTTAACCCGTGTGGATCCCCGGTGTGGGTCGGGTTTGGGATGGTGCTGGGTGGCTTCTCCGTGTTCCGTTCCTTTGTCATCCCTCCCCCACAGGGGCTTCCGGCCTCACACCAAAAAGGAGCGGGGAGAGGGCAGAGAGGAGCCGGCTGACTCACTCTCCCCTGCTCCGACCTCAGACAGGAGGTTCTGAGAAGGCGCGGGGTGGGGGCGGCGGCGGCGGGGCTTCTCCCGGAAGGTCAGGAGCAGCCTGGCCCTGCTCCTCTCTCCTGGTGCTGTGTCCCATGTGGGCTTTTAGTAGGGAAGCCAGGCCATCTCTCCAGCCCAGGGCCAACCGCCACCTCTTTCTGGACCTCCAGGTGCTGCGTGGCCTTACAGAGCTCCCGGGGAGACTCGCTGGGGGCCCGGGGGTCCTGGTGGATGTGCCCCTGTGAGTCACTGGCCTCAGGTACCAGCCCTGACTCAGCCTGATGGGCCGGAGGTCCCTGGCTGCAGGCTTTAATCTTCTGGGGTGTGCAGGCTCAGAGCGGCCCTGGAGAAGGGCAGCCCCAGTTCTCAGGGTGCACGGGAGCCTAACCCACCTCTTGCCTCTGCCTGCAAGTTCTCATGAACCAAGAATTGTAGCCTGTTTTCCTCAAGTCCCTTTTTTCCTGAACACTCGGAGAGAGTAGGTTTCCCCGTGTTCTCTGGGAGCTGCAGGTGGCTGTGTGATGTGATGGCCGTGTCACAGAGCCATGTCCCAGCTTGGGTACAGCTGCCGCTTAAATCTCTGCTGCTCGGAAACCACAGCCCCTTGTACAGAAACCTCAGCTCTGTAGGTGAGCCCTCAGATGGGGTCCTGCTTAGGACCCATATGCCACACTTGACCGTGAGCTTCCTGCGAAAGCCCTCCCCCCCAGAGGGTGACAGGCCCTGCCCACTCAGCGTCTCCCTCCGGCCTTCCCATTGTGATCCTCTGCCCGGCGCACGGCATGGGTGACCACTCTGGGTGCATGGGCCGCAGGCAGCCCCGGCCTCGGGACCCATGGTGTGTGCAGGAGGCCAGCTTAGTGTGAGCACTGGCCTGGTGGCCTCTGGGTGCCTGCTTCAGGGGCTCCCCTGCCATGCCGAGGCCGCTGTCTGCAGCAGCAGTGTGGGTCCAGGGGCCAGACGCTGAGACCGTGATGTGTGCAGGCAAGGTTCAGGCTGGGGCTGGTCTCACACTGTCACACCTAGACATCCTCCTCCGTGTTCAGTCCAAACAGGTGCTCATTAGACGTGGCTGGTTACAGAGAGGCTCTGTGGCCTGATTTGTAAAATAGCCCGAAACCTGGCCCACGTTGTTGTTTAGCTGCTAAGTTATGTCCAACTCTTTGTGACCCCATGGGCTGTAGCCCACCAGGCTCCTCTGTCCATGGGATTTCACAGTCAAGAATACTGGAATGGGTTGCCATTTCCTTCCTTCCTGACCCAGGAATCAAACCCACGCCTCCTGCATTGGCAAGCGGATTCTTTATCACTGAGATGTGCTTAGTTTAGAGCACAGATACCTGAATTTTTGCAGTTTTTTCTAATGCAGAGAGATGTCTGTCTTGGCATGTCTGCACTTGGAAGGAGTGAATTACCTGTCCGAAGAGAACTTCTCTCCGCCACTCTCTAATCCCCTTGACCCAGACACTCAAATTAAGAGTGCAGACGTGTCATGGAGGCTTTAAACACAGCCTCCGTCTTGCGGTTTAGGGGCCAGTGGAGGCGAGTTGGCCCCTGCCTGGGACTCACAGTCCACACTGCCCTCCTGGTGGGCTGCGCCAGCCTCGTTCGGCTTTCCCCAGGTGTTGTCACCCTGCTGAGGCCTGTGTTGTCGCCAGGGCTTCTTGGCTGGTGGCGGGGCCTCCCGGGCTGGGTGATTACCCTGCTGCTGGGCGTTTTGATTCAGGCCCTGAGGCAGAAACGGGAGGGTGTGTGGTGTCCGCTGTCCCCACAGCTCCTGATCTGAAGTGCTTCTACCTACGTGGCCTCCAGACTTCATGTAGGTGTATTGGGGGCCTCTTTTTTTTTTCCTTTTAAAGACAAGATTCATTGTCCTTTGCTTTTTTCCTCTGCTCATTAAGGTTGGAAAGAATCTTCACGACTATTAACCCACTGGTCCGTGCTTTGTAGGATAGTGGAGACCCCCCGCCCCCACCAAAGCATTCACTCGGCTTGTCCACGGTGCGCTGGCCGTCGGGGGGTCAGCCCCAGCCCTGGCTTCCTGCCCTGGGCCGCCCGCTCGCCTGTCTGCACATCTCCCTCTCTCCCTGGGGCTCCGGCGCAATTCCGTGGGGGGTCAGGGGCCAAGCAGACATGTGAACAAGCGACACCTCGGGGTCCAGGCTCTGGGATGTGGAGTGCGTGGACGCCTGGCCTTTCACCCCTCTGTCTTCAGGACGGGCTGCTGCGGCCCAGAGCCCGGGGGAGGGGAGGCATCTCTGTGCCCCCTAAGCCAGAACTGACAACCAAAGTTTGGTCTAAGCGGCTGGCAGCCTGCTAACCATGGTGGACGGCTTTGCAGCGCCTAGGACTTGCAGTCAGCTTTTCAAAACACCGAAATGGCAGAAACGCTCCCAGGCACACCTTCGTTTATTCCAGCAGCAGGCTATCCAGCCTCAGAGGTTGTGACGCTCATTCGATGTCCCTTCGAGGGGTCAGACTCAACGGGTGCCCTTCGGACTCTGGCTGCTGACACACCAGTCACGTGGGCGGGTACCCGATCTTTCTCCCCGGTGTCTGCTGTTATCGTGTGTCACAGGGTGTCTTTCCCTTTGTCCCTCTGCTTCGAGTGCCTGGGAAGAGAAAGTGCGTGTGGTTCACCCGAATGACATTTGTCCCTCAGTTTCAAGGTGCGTGTGTCTTTCCTGGTCAGCCGTCGTGAACGGCCTGGCTGGCATGGGGCAGGAGGAAGCTGTGTCTGCAGGCGTTTCCAGCTGTCAGCGTGGGAGCGGAGCTGCCCCAGCAGCTTGAGGGTAGCGAAGCCAGGCAGGCTCTCACGGCCTTCGTGGACGCCCCGCGACAGACACAGTGTGTGCCGGGGCAGCAGTGCTGCGGCAGAGAGACCCTGGGCCAGGGCATCACCGAGGGCCTGCTGAGTCTGTCGTGGGCCAGTCTGGCTTCTCACGCCCTTGACTGAGGGTGGACATGGTGTCCTGCAGTAGTTCCACGGGTGATGACTGTAGTTGACACGCACATACCGGCTGAAACGACAGAGGAGGAGGTCGGGGGCTGGACTGAGGTCTCCCTCGCCTCCAGGCAGGGTGCCCGGACGCCCCCCTGCCCTCCGACCCCTGGGCGGTGCTGGGAGCAGGCGCCGGGCCTCCCCGCTCCGTCCTGCCGCCCCTCACCGCAGCTTTCCCGGCCCTGCAGTTCCTGCGCGTCACGAAGCAGTACCTGCCGCACGTGGCGCGCCTCTGCCTGATCAGCACGTTCCTGGAGGACGGCATCCGCATGTGGTTCCAGTGGAGTGAGCAGCGGGACTACATCGACACCACCTGGAGCTGCGGCTACTTGCTGGCCTCCTCCTTCGTCTTCCTCAACCTGCTTGGACAGCTGAGTGAGTGGCGCCTGTGCCCCCGCGGGCCTCCCGGGCGGCGGCCTGCGCCCCGCTCCCCGCACCGGGGCGCCGGGTGGGCCTGGGAGCGAGCCCTGCTGGCCCCCGGCTGGCTGCTCTGTGTTTAGTCCTGGCTGCGTTGCTTTGCGGCCCTGGGTTCAGTTCCCAGAACAGGAGATACAAGGGGCTGGGGGCAGCCAGTGAGGAGCCAAGGAACACTGAACCTGGGGTCTGGAGAGGAAAACAGCGGCAAACGGAGAAGGGTGGGCCTCGGACGCTGTGCGGCCGCGTGGGCTTTGGGCCCGGCTCCCGCCGCCCGTCCGTCAGGGACAGGACAGGACTGCAGCTCCCAGCAGAGCTGTCTCTAACACACGCGGCTCTAGCCAGGAGTCTGCTTTCTGGACCAGGGCTTTTGATAGGTAGAGACCGCCCCCTGCCAGAGGCTGCTTTCTGCTCGGGGCGGGTGGCTGGGCTGCCGCAATGCCAGCGGCCGGGGTGGGGGGGCCGCAGCCCTGACCTCAGCCTTCTTGCAGCCGGCTGCATCCTGGTGCTGAGCAGGAACTTCGTGCAGTACGCCTGCTTCGGGCTCTTCGGCATCATCGCGCTGCAGGTAAGCGGGTCTCCCTCCTCTCGCCCTGCTTAGAGCCGAGCCCCTGTGGCAGAGGCGGCGAGGACTCAGCCCCACTCCCCTTTCAGCCCGAGTGTGTCTTCTGGAACTGCTTGGGGCCAGGCTCCGGGCTTCCACCGTTGGACACTTCCCCAAGTTCCTTCTGACCAGGCAGGAACAGGGTTCTCTACTTCACAGAGAACACATAGCTACTCATGAAATGTTCAGCTCACATTTCATCCGGATCGGGTCTTGGAGCCGCCATGTCCTCCAAAACTCTCTGGGCCCAGCTCTGAGGAAGGAGGGGCTCGTTGACGGGTCTGGGCCACCGCCCACCCCGAGGGACGCCGAGCCCCTTGCTGAGTTTGGGGCTGTTGGTGTCCCGAAAGAGTTTTGTCTGTCTTGTGTTTAGATTTCTCACGATGTTGGAAGAATTGCCTGATGCGGTTAATTCTGTGGAAACACAGGTTTGTCTGAAACTGCTGAGACTCCAGTTTCTTTTTCCTCTGTTCCCCAGACGATCGCCTACAGCATTTTGTGGGACTTGAAGTTTTTGATGAGGTAGGTGTCTCCTGGTTGGTGACTAGTGTATCTCCTCATGTCTCTAAAGTCAGTAGCTACTGGTTGAAGTGAGTTTCTCTGGGTCAAAACTGTGCTTCTTAGACCCTGTAGTGGACGTTGGTGAGGCCTTTTCCTCCCCATCCCCGAACCCCGAGAACACAGGTGAGAACCCCATGTCTCATGAGGGCTGAGGGTCCGGGGGGCGCTGGTCAGTGGAGTCCCCTTCCTGCTGGGCCCTCCGACCCAGCCCGCCCAGCGCTGGTGGGGCCTGGGGGCCCCGAGTGACCGCCGCGGGGTGTGTCCTGCAGGAACCTGGCCCTGGGAGGCGGCTTGCTGCTGCTGCTGGCTGAGTCCCGCTCCGAGGGCAAGAGCATGTTCGCAGGCGTGCCCACCGTGCGCGAGAGCTCCCCCAGGCAGTACATGCAGCTCGGAGGCCGTGTCCTGCTGGTGCTGATGTTCATGACGCTGCTCCACTTTGATGCCAGCTTCTTCTCGGTACGTCTCCCTGGCTGATCCCCGGCCTTCTGGAAGGGCACTGCCACCTCCTCTCTGCACGCTGCACATCGCCAAGGGGCCGTCCTGCCCTGACCGCATCACAGGGCCCCTCCAGTGGGGGAAGCAGGATCAGAGCACGCACACCTGCTTCTCTCTCCTTCCGGGCACGCCCGCCTGCAGCATGTCCTATTTGCACGCCAGGGCTTGGGGCTGCAGAGTCGAAGGCTTCATCCTTGGCTCCTAGGAGCTCATAGAGCTGGGGCCCTGGCTGGGCAGGGTCCCCAGGAGGGGCTCCTGGCGCTGGGGGCAGGGAGCAGTTGGTCCTGAGCAGCCCTGGGGAGTGTGGTCCAGCTAACAGAGCCCCTGGGGTCAGCCGTGAGTGAGCCCGCGAATAACCCTGCCTGTGAACTGCAGGCCTCGCTCCCTCCGGGGCAGCCTCTGCTGCCCTCGCCTCGGTAGCGCCTCTTTTCCTTCCCTGCTTGTGAAGCTCTCGGCACACGCCAAGTTACTCCACCCTGGCGCGGGGCCTGCGGGGATGTGGGCAGCTGGAACTCGCCTACATATTAAATGGGATACATCTGTTCTTCACATTCATTCTCATTCCATACCTTTCAACCTATGCAGATCCTCCAGAACATCGTGGGCACGGCTCTGATGATCTTGGTGGCCATCGGTTTTAAAACCAAGCTGGCCGCCTTGACTCTTGTCGTCTGGCTGTTTGCCATCAACGTGTACTTCAACGCCTTCTGGACCATTCCAGTCTATAAGCCCATGCACGACTTCCTCAAGTACGACTTCTTCCAGACCATGTCGGTGATTGGAGGCTTGCTCCTGGTGGTGGCCCTGGGCCCCGGGGGCGTGTCCATGGACGAGAAGAAGAAAGAGTGGTAACAGAGTCCTCCCTGCCTGGCTGGAACCCGCGGCCGTCGAGGACTGGTTCAGGGTGGATTCGAGTAACTGCCAGCATCTCCTGTACCCCCTTCCCTTCCCTCCCTTGGTAAAGGCACAGATGTTTTGAGAACTTTATTTGCAGACACCTGATAATTAACGGCTAAACCTGCTATGGACCCACAGCCTGGTATCCGACCGCGTGGAGCCAGCCGGCCGAGGTCAGCGCTTCCCACCCCAGGGCAGGGCCATGGCTTCTTGGAGTGGGCATCTTGCTTGGCTGTGGCCTGTCAGCCCTGTTTTTCTGTTTCATTTTTGGGGTGGGGACCTGGAAGCCTACTGTGAGCAGATACATTTGTGTATCATTCAGAGCAGCCCCCCTCTTATTTTTTTTTGAAGTTTACCTTTTTAGCTAAAACTACTCAATGATCAGGGTGGCCCAGCCCAGCACCAACACACTGGTTCAGCCCCGCACCAGTGCCTTCCCCGTGGTCTCCGCCCTGCGCTGGGAGCCTCTTACAGGCCGGTGAGAGCGTTTAGAGAAACCCCAGACCCAAAGAATAAGGCAGTATTAGAGCGGCAGGCGAGGCTGCGGTTCGTGGCCAGGGCGTTCCTCAGAGAAGGAGCTGGGGCCAGTACGGTTTCCGTGGGGCGATGCCTGGGAGCACGAGGGTCTCACGGTGGGGACAAGGCCCTCAGAAAGGCCACCTGGAGCCCGCAGGGTCTGGAGCCCAGGCCTGGCAGCACGTGGGCCTTGTCGGCCCCTGCGTGCCCAGCCAGGGAGCAGCTGCCGCTGCGGGCTGGGCTGGGCCGGGGCGGGCGCTCAGACCAGTTACCTCAGGCCGACCATCCCAGAGCCGTAGCCGCAGCCGGCCTGGTGCCCCCCGGCCCCGCTCTCTCCCCACCCTCATGAGGCCGCTGCTTGCTCAGATTGTCTATTTGCTATGCTGAATGCAGCCCCAATTACTTTTTACGATTTGTGATGCCTTACCGATTGGATCTTGATCCTGTATTTAAAGTTTTCTAACATTGCCTTATACTGTGTTTCTCTTCTTGGGGGCGGGGCCGTGAGCTCTTCTCGCTGTTCTTCACTCGTCCATCTAGTAGCAGAGGCCACAAGGTGACCACAACCCCTATGCCCCCGCCCCTCCCCAGGTCCTCCTGGGGGCCAGGCCCTCCGAGGTCTCACAAACCTTGCCTTGGAGCAGGCCCCGTCTTCTCTGGATTCATCTGCTGGGGGTGCGAGCCTGACCTGAGGGCCTTCCCTGGGGCTTCTGGGGCCAGTCCCGAACCCGCATCCACACGGACCTTCGTGTTGAGCCAGGGTGAGGGGAGCAACCCCCACCCCGACCCACTCGAGCCCCTGGCCAGCTTCACAGGGCAGGGGGAGGCTGGCTCTTACCCACCAGAGCTGCTAGAACCTTCCCTACAGTCTGGACCCAGCTAACCCGAGGGGAGCCATCGCCACCTTTCCAGCACCACCCGTGTATACCCTCCCCGAGCCCCACCACTGCAGAGGCTCCTCACACCCCACCCCCAGGAGCCCACTTCCCTGCTCCCCAAGTATTTATAAGGATGGAGGGCTTTCTACTTCCATCCCGCGGGCGCACCCACACGCAGGGGGGCAGACTCGCTGTCAGTCTGGGCAGGCTGGCCTCTGTCTGCGCACCCCGCCCAGTCACCCAGCCTCCTGGCCCAGGGAGCAGCCCGCTTGGCCAGGCCGCAGCTGCTCTGTGGCAGGTTTTGGTTTGTAAAAGCAGACTGACCCCTGGTGGTCACCAGTCCACAGCCCCTGCCCTGAGTGGGCCACACTCAGGGCAGGGTAGATGCTTATGTAAGAGGAGAAAGGACCTACTAAATTGGTTTGAGCAAAAACAATAAAAAAAAAAAAATACTTTTTTTTTTGGCTCTCTGTGGGAAATAGGTATAAATCTCATGCTGTATTTTATATCTTAGTTGTGTTTGAAAACATTTTGATTTTTGGAGACACGTCAAAATAAATAATGGCATTTGTTGTACGCAGTGTGGTCCTCTGGTGTCCGCCAGCCAGGTGGGGCCTGGCCAGGGCAATCTCTGGGTGCCCCTGCCAGGCGTTGCCCGAGACCGTGTCCAGACGGAGGTCTTCCTTTGGGGTCCGTGCTGCTCCCTGGGTGTGGGGCTCAGACCTCAGCCGTGCAGGGGCAGCAAGCAAGGAGTGCGTCAAGCAGGTCTTGGGACACCGGCTGGACCCATGGGGACCCTGGCGGGCTACTTCCGAGGACTTTCAGAATTCTCTCGATGCGTTTTCCCCAGCGACCTTTCATTAACCCGACTGTTTACAAGAGCTGAAGCTCTTAGGTTTGCGGTGGTGACTTTTGAACTTCTTTTTCAAGGAGCTGGACTGTTTCTGTGGCACAGAGAATTCCCATTAGCGGGGGCATTCTGATGCGATGCCGGGGTGTTGTGAGCCTGCCCCCCAACCCCAGCCTGCAGGGAGGAAGGGACTTTAGTGGGAACCCCTGGGCAGCTTTCTGGCTGCGGCTTCCTTGATGACTCGGTGGGGCAGTTAAAGGTAGCACTGGGACCCCAACCGCACAGCCCTGCCCCGCCCTCTACCAGCCCAGTGCTGTGTCACTGACGGAACCGTCTTTCCTGCCCCAGTCTCAGAGGTTCCGGGGGCTCTGGTCGAGTCCTCTCCTCAAGGTTCCTGCGCTGTGCCCGGGCCATCCTGCCTTAGACCTGGGGCCCTGAGCCTGCTCCATGCAGCCCCTTCTGTGAAAGCGCAGACCAGGAAGCAGCCCCGCCAGCACCTGTCTTGTACACTGCTGGCTTGAAATTTTAGTTGTAAAAAAAAAAAAAAAAGGATCTGATTTTTTCTAAAGAAGCTGAAACCCACGGCTACAGGAAACCGCTGCCACACCGGCACCCTGGGAGACAGCACTACCTTCCTGCGCTTGAGGACGCGTTCCTGGCCCGCTCCCAGGGCCCCCCCGTCTTCAGGGCCCGTCTCTCGGGGGCCCCTCAGCCTCTCATCCTCTTCCTCGGTCAGAAAGTCGTCAGCGCTGTCCCCAGGCCCGGGCGCCTCCAGGTCCTCCTTGGTGAACAGCTCAGCTGCAAGGGGTAGAGATTTGGGCTGTCTTAGGTCAAGTGCACCACCTATGCCGAGGGGTCAGCCAGGCCCAGGACCAGAGGCGAACATGCAGCAGCAGGGAGCGGCTTGCTGATGGAATCCGCGGGGACAGCTGTGACCCGGACCCCGAGCACTGGAGCTTACGCGGGTACAGGTCTGTCATGCTGTCATCACTGTCACTCGGGGCGGCGCCGTCATCGCTGGACGGGGGCTCCCAGAAGGCTTCTCTAGGACGTGGCGGCCTGTCACCATCCTGCTGCTCTTCCCTCCTCCTCCTCTTGTGTAGGAGGCAGGCCGGCACAAACTCCACGCCCCGCTCCTGACACTCCTCATCTGTGAGACAGACCGGTATGCTGCCTGGCTCCCTCACATCTCCCCACCATCCTCCGGCACACAGCTGGGCTTGGCCCGGGCCCTGCCACCCTCCTCCCCAGGGAAACAGCAGGAGAGCCTTCAGCTCAGCTCCTCTGGGGAGAGCAGCCAGGGGTGTCGGGGTGCGGGCCAGGGGCAGGACAGCGGAGACTGAACAGGCCTGGAGCACCCATTCCTTCGGCTCCAGCCAGTTTCCAGGAAGCCACGCCAGCCTGCTGCCCGGAGACTGACACCTGCTCAGGCACAGCAGCTGGGACCCCTCCCTGGATGGTGTGCTCCATGAAGTCCTGGCTCTAGCCCTCCAGCGCACTCCCATCCATAGCTGCCAAGACCCTCTGTGGTCTCATCCCCACCTGCCTTTCCAGGTCCACTTGCCGGGTGGCACAGCAGCCATCCTACAGAACCCCCCTCCCCACGGCCATGCCGACCATTCTTCCAGCAGCCCCTCAAGTCTTGTCTAAAGAGAAACCCTCACAGAGCCTCCTGTGTGAGGCAGGCCCACCTGAGGATGCTTTAGCACCGTCTCCTTCACAGCACTTAACCCAACCCACGTCACTCCGAGTCTGCTGCTCGCTCTGGGCCGTCTCTACCATGACCCTCTCCTCACCATGCTGGGACCGGGCCTGGTGCATCCACCAAGGGCCACCAAAGGCTGACTGGGCTGCTGCTTCTGCCTTCTAGGGGTGCTGGTCCTGGGGAGAGCACGCAAGCACCCAGACACCCATGTCCCCTGAGGCTACTTACACTTCTGCAGCGCCCTCTGGTACCGCCGGCCCTGGGTGTGCCTCAGGACGTGCTCCGGGGACTTGTTGATGTGTCGCAGGGTGAGTTTGCAGAACAGCTGACACCTAAGGGACAGTTCACAAGCCAGGGTCCAGACCCACAGCTCTCTACCATGGCCACATCTTAGAATCACCCCTAGAGAGTCTGATGAGGGAGGTCTGCCGTGTGGCTTAGGCATCAGGATTCCTCCAAGCAACTGCAGCCTGCCACTCCTCCAGACAGCTTCACCGTCCACCCAGAAAACAGGCCTAGACAGCCTGGCCAGCCTCCCCAGGCTTTTCCAGCAGGAGAGGCATGTGAACCACCGCTTCACAAAGTGCTGGACAGCGGGACTGTCTGCCACCCCCCCTTCATCTTGACTACTACTGTCAACCATGCCCTCTCGGCTAAATCAAAGCTCTCCTTTACACTAAAGAAGGAAAACGACCGCCTTCAGAACCTCAGGTGACAGACCACAAGTGCGCCAACCCTCTACGAAGCAAACAGGCCAGGTGGCAAACCTCGTGTTTACAAAAAGAAAACGAAATATCAACTTCAGATATGCAGACGGTACCACTGTAATGCACTACCATCCAGTAGTCATGTATGAATGTGAGAGTTGGACCATAAAGAAAGCTGAGTGCGGAATAACTGATAATTTTGAATTGTGATGCTGGAGAAGACTTTTGAGAATCCCTTCTACAGCAAAATCAAACCAATCACTTCTAAAGGAAATCAACCCTGAATGTTCACTGGAAGGACTGATGCTGAAGCTGAAGCTCCAATACTTTAGCCACCTGATGCAAAGAGCCGACTCAGTGGAAAAGACCCTTAGGTTGGGAAAGATTCAGAGCAAAGGGAGAAGGGGACGACAGAGGATGAGATGGTTAGCTAGCAACACCGACTCAATGAACATGAATTTGAGCAAACTCCAGGAGATGGTGAAGAACAGAAAAGCCTGGTGCACTAAAGCCCACCAGATCGCAAAGAGTCGGACACGACTGAGCGACTGAACACACACACATAGACATGAGCGAGATGGGGGTCTCATTTGGGGTCCCAGGTGACTCACAGCTCCGGAACTCCCACCTGCATCTCAGGTCTCCTATAAGACGGGAGGGTGGGCGCTGCCAAACTGGCCGCATCTCTGAAGAGCGCTCACTCTGCGAGGAGGGGTCGGGGCTCCGGAGTCTACCCAGTCCCAGACTCAGCACTAGAAACTGTCCCTCCCTGGGTCTCCGCGGGCAGTGCCCGGCCGCCCCGCCCCGGCCCGGCCACGTACGGGTTCTTGGTGCTGGGCACGATGTGCGGCTCGAACTCGGCGTAGTCGAAGGCCGGGGAGGCGCGGACCAGCCGCCGGTACTTCTTGCCGCGGGTGTAGACCTGGAGCTCGGGCAGGCGACAGGGCAGCTCGTGGCCGGTCAGAGCGCACCGCACCTGCGGGCGGGAGCGCGGCGCGGTCACGGGGTCCGGGCGCTGGGGGTCTCCGGGCCCGCCGTGGGATTCCCGCACCCCACCCCCGCCCCGCTCCCACCTTGCAGGCGCCGGGCTCCAGCCGCAGGCTCGGGTGCTCGCGCAGAAAGGCGCGCACGTCCGCCGGCAGCTCGTTCATGGCTCCTTCGCCGACCTTCGCCGGAACCACGTGGGTCGGGGGGCGGGCCGGAGGCGGGGCCGAACGACGTCCCGGAAGCAAACGCCTCCAGGGCCCGGAAGTGAGCGGGCGGGGCGATGGCGGCGGCGGTGCTGCAGCTGGGGCTGCGCGCCGCGGGGCTGCGGCCTTTGCTGTGCGCGGCGGGCGCGGGGATGGTGAGTGGGCTGGGGCGGTGCGGCTGGGCGGGGGTGCGGCCGGTCGGGCGCGCCCTCGGAGTGGGTGAGCTCAGCCGGTTTTTCGCGTCTCCGCAGGCCCCGGCCAGCGTCGTCTGGAGGAGCGCCCTGGCGATCGCCCCGCGCGCAGGTGAGTTCTTGTGCAGGGACGCCCCAGGCGCCCCGGGAAAGCCTTTCAGTCCGTGCGTTCATTTTGCCGGGGGGGCGAGGGTGTCGCGATAAGCTCTGAAACTGCCGCCCCAGCCTCGGGAGTCGGGCCCTGGGTGCGCGCGGGCTGTTCTCCGTGCTGCCACCCGGCCGACCAGTGCAGCCACTGCCCGAGGCCGCCTCGGGCTGAGGCGGGGCCGACCCGAGATCGAAACCGTCTGGGATCCTAAAGGAAAGCATGGCTTGTCTGTATAGTTTGCATGTGGTCCCCGCGGTTCAGCAAAGGGTGTTTGTGTATAGAGCGCTGGGCGCCCTGGAAAGGCGGCTGTAAGTTTGCTCCAGGCCTGCCTTTTTTTTAACCTAAGACCTAGGCTGCTTTCCATTGATGGAAGTCACGCTCTGAGAGCTCTAAGGTACCTCTTGTGTACGTTTTTCCAACTTTAAATTTGTGAGCGATTCAAAGGAAAAGTCGTTCTGAGAGCTGTGTAAACCACTGTCCTTAAGTGTATCACATTCTGTTCTGCAGAGCATGGGCAGTCCGTGTGTCTAAGTAACAGGATAGGTCTCAGCATGTCCTTGCAGGAAAGCCATGAGGTGGTTCCTTGAGTTACCCAGGGTCATGTCGGGTGACAGAGCCAGGCCCTAATCGCTGGGTCTCATTCAGTCGGTGACTGCTGAGTGGGGGTCCTGCGCTGGGTTAGGGTTAGGGTTAGGGTTAGGAGCTGGGCCGGACGCAGGGGCTGCTGGTTAGCTCTGACTGCCCGCGGTGGCCGCCCTCCTTCTGTTCCACGTTCTCTCAGGCAGTCAGGGCAGCTTCGAGGAATTGGCCACTGCAGTTCTTTCCAGGGCTTCTGGCCCCATGCCCGTGCTGTGACATCTCCTAGGGTTGGCCTGGAGGCCCCGCAGGTGTGGTAGCTCTTCAGCCGAAGCAACTGCCACAAAAAGCGAAGATGAGTCCTTCCTCCGCTGGTTTCTGCTTCTTATTCCTGCGACTGCTTTTGGCCTGGGGACGTGGCAGGTAAAGGCTGACGTGGCTCTCCTGGCCCTGAGCCCTTGACTGTGCTGCCGCCCACTTGGGCTTACGCCCTGTGCCCACAGGTCCAGCGTCGGAAGTGGAAGCTACAGCTGATCGCAGAGCTAGAGTCGAGAGTTATGGCTGAGCCCATCCCACTGCCCGCAGAGTGAGTGTGTGCGGCTGCCCAGCTGGGGCTGGGCTTGCTCACGGGCAGCAGTGGGGCCTGGCTGCAGCTTGCCTTCCTGACTCCTCAGTGGGCCTGCTCGGCTTCTTGTTGACACCCAGCTGCTGCCTGACCCACACATGTAAAGAGGCCTTTGGGTTTTACCCGTTTCCAGGCCCAGTGTACTGAGGGCTCCTGCAGTGCTGACGGCCTCCCGTAGCAGTATTTCTTAGGTGGCGGGAGTACAGACGTCTGTCATGTCTGGACATGAGTGGTGTTTTGAAAATGTGCCTAGTGATTCTCCGGCCTTCTTCCCTCCTTTAAAAACACTCGCCTACAAGGATAGCTGTTGTCATGACGCTTCCCATTCAAGGGAGCAGACAGTGGGTCATGTTTGCCTTGCAGATGGTCGCTTTGGCCCCTCTGTTTTACTGAGTTCACACAGGAGTCCACAGCGTTAAGCTTTTCTTGAAAACTAGGACCGTTTAGCAGCACAGATCCTCGTTCCGCGTGCTTCCCAAGGACCCAGCCCCGCTTCGAGGGCACAGCATGCAGCCCTGCAGCCCCCATGGTGCTGGTGCATCTTCTGCTCAGGCCACGGTGGGCGGCGTGGTCTGCAGACCCTCAAGTGGGTCTCGGCTCCCCTTCTCCCGCCCCGTACAGCCCAATGGAACTGAAGAACCTGGAGTACAGGCCCGTGAAGGTCAGGGGGCACTTTGACCACTCCAAGGAGCTGTACATGATGCCGCGGACGATGGTGGACCCTGCCCGGGAGGCCCGGGAAGCCGGCCGGCTCTCATCAGCGGCTGAGAGCGGTGCCTACGTGGTCACTCCCTTCCACTGCACTGAGCTGGGGTGAGTGGCATGTCAGGGAAGGGGTGCTGAGTGGCCTGGCAGAGGTACTGGTTCCCATGTTCCTTCTCAGCCCCCAACCCCGGGGAATCCAGGCTACCCAGAGAGCTCAACTCCTTGGAGAGTTTGAAATGTCATCCTGGTGTCATTAAGACAGCTAATTACTGAACTTCATCTGCGTTGTTGAGCTCTGAAGGGGAAGGAGCATGAAATAGACCTCTTTGGAGAAACCGTTCAGCTGACATTTAGTGCTTATGGGGCAACAGGTGGGCCAGCAGAGGAGCCGCAGCCTTGCGTGGAGGGTTCCGGGTCAGGGGAGCCTTCCCAGGAGGCTGTTTGAGTAGGAAGTGGTATGTAGTCAGTGCCAGCCCTGCAGCACCGCTTCCCCCACCACCACCAAGACCCAAAACGGGAGCATCAGCCTGAGAAGAAACCCCAGGGCCTCAGCCTTCGCCTTCTGGTTTTCTGCGCAGGATGGGTCCCAGTGCTGCAGCTAGGCTAGGCCAGCGAACTGAAAGCAGGAGTTGAAGGGAGAGGCGGGGGGGGAGACACCCGCCACCGGCTGTGTTGCAGCAGGTGAAAGGCAGAGGTTGGCGGCGGGGAGGGTATGAACCCACAGCACGCCCGGGGCTGGAGCCCCGCCCCTGCCCCCAGCTCGCTCTACTGCAGTCTTTCCCTGAGGCACCCAGTGACCACTCATCACCTGCATTCAGAACCTCTTCCCTGCCTGAAATAGCATGTTCTTACTACTCTAGAATCACCATTCTGGTGAACAGAGGGTTTGTGCCCAGGAGGAAAGTGAATCCAGACACGCGGCGTAAAGGCCAGGTGAGGGCCGTGGATTGTCCCCTCCGGGAGGAGCTGTCCCAGCTCTGCAGAGACACGGCATCTCTCACCTTCCCTCACAGATCGAGGGAGAGGTGGACCTGGTGGGGATGGTGAGGCTCACAGAGACTAGGAAGCCTTTTGTCCCCGAGAACAATCCGGAGCGGAACCACTGGCATTACCGGGACCTGGAGGCCATGGCCAGGCTCACAGGCGCAGAACCCATCTTCATCGATGCGGACTTCAGTATGTTATGAGCAGCACACCCCAACACCTCCCTCTTAGCCCTGGCCACACACCTCTCCTCCTGTCCTTTACACCCCAGCATGTATGTCAGTGGGTGGGAGTGTGCCCGACTTGGCTGAGTGCCCCACAGACACCATGAGGCCACTTCCATGTCCCGCAGAGAGCACAGTCCCTGGCGGGCCCATCGGAGGGCAGACCAGAGTCACACTGCGGAACGAGCACCTGCAGTACATCATCACCTGGTAAGCCGGGGCCCGGCCTCGCCCTCTCCCTCCCCCCACCCACCCCCTGACAGTGTTCCCTGCTTTCAACCCAAGGTATGGACTCTGTGCGGCCACCTCGTACCTGTGGTGCAAGAAGTTCCTAAGTCGGACTCCTGGTGTGTGAGGTTAGCCGAAGTCAGCCTGTCCCTTAACAACTGAAGCCACTTCAAGAGATTTGGTTTTATGCTGATCATGTGCTCTTGGTATAAATAAATCTCTGCAGCACATGAAGTGCCTTTCTTTCCACCTAAACTCCAATGTACCACCTAAGACAGCCTTTTAAGAACCTGGACACACACACAGGGCTTCCGTGGTGACAGGGAAAAGCCCATGCACAACGTGGAGAGGAGCTCCTGCTTACCACAAACAAGGGAAAAAATTAGGTGCAGTGAATGAAAACCAAGCACAGTACCCGCCCCCCCCCCCCCCCAGAACAAAACTGGACGCACAACTGATGAAAGTACTTCGTCACCATCCCCAAACTCTCATCCCAGAATGCTTGATACCAGCTGAAGCAGCCTTTTTATTACTTTTATGTACAGAAAACTCAATAGTGTACACTCAGCCCAGCTTGGTGGCCAGTTCTTTGGCCTTAGCCTTTTCCAGCTTGGCGATGCGAGCCACTGACTTCGGCCCCAGGACATTGCCTCCCCAGTGACGGCGGATCTGTGGGAGAAGAGAGACGGTCAGCCTGCTGTGTCATTTTCTAAGGCTTTCAAACCACGCTGGTTCATGCAATTCTATTTCATTGTTCCAAGTTCACTGGCATATACAACTGCTCAGACCCAAGAGCAGCCAGTCTTTGACTGAAGGCTTCAAAGACAATATTTTGTATGAATGTGTTTCTCACCTCATCGTATCTGTCGTTGTAATTGGTTCTGATGGCTTCCACCAGCTTAGCCAGGGCACTCTTGTCCTCCCTGACAAGGCAGAGAGGGAAATTAAGGTCACTGGCCTGTCAAGTTACCCACCTCCCTCAAAGCAGACATGACATCAATTTAGCTCCAACAGAAGCCTCTTGCCTCAGATATAGCATGACCACATGGTTTATTCAGGTGAAGAAATTCATAACCATCATTGGCAAAGATTCAGAAAATGTACTTTTTAAAGTAAAACCCAGAGAAATTATGTGACCTTGGAGTGGGGGCAGGGTGGTCCCCTAGTGACTTGGGAATGCTGGGCTCCGCTGCACTTACGAGTTGACTTGTGTGAAGGCTACGGTGGTACATGTCTTCCTGTGGACCAGGCGCCCCAGCCGGGCCTTACCCTTGATGATGCAGTAGGGAACCCCCATCTTGCGGCACAGGGCAGGCAGGAAGACCACGAGCTGGAAGACAGCGTTAGCTCTAGAGTTATCTGGAGCAAAAGCAGTAACTTAAAAAGGCTAATGTGGTAGCAATTGCTCAGGGTTAAAAAGCTCATGTGTTTGCACTTCAAGGTTTAATTCAGTCAGAAATTCACATCATCGCAAAAACCAGGAACTGGATCCCTTGTCAGGACTTCCTTATATGAAAAACTGACTATTCTTGTCACTCCACCAGGGCCAGTCAGACCCAGCATCTAGTTTGGCACTATCTTCCTGGTACAGACAAGGACCCACCAATCTAAGTCCAGCAGTCAACACAGGCAAACAAACCACACATACCTCGATGGGATCCACATCGTGAGCGATCACCACCAGCTGAGCTTTCTTGTTCTCCACCAGGGTGGTGACAGTGTTGACCCCTGGAACACACAGCCAGTTTGCATGAGGGCGAGGTGGGGCTGCTGTTCACAGAAGCAGTTCCACGCAGCCTGGCTGTGACTCAGGGTTAAAAAGCTCGGATTTTACTCTCCACAGTGATTCCAGGTGAAGAAATTCATGCATCATTGCCAACAGCCTGCCCCACAACTCACCTTCTTCAAGGAAAGGTGCACTCACCTGCTCTAAGGACAGGTGGCCTCTTGGTGGGGACGTCGCCTTTGCCGGCGGCTTTCTTCTCAGCGCGGGCCAGCAGCCTCTGCTTCTTCTCCTGCTTTGTCTCTGGTCTGTACTTGTGGGCCAGCTTAAGCAGTTGAGTAGCTGACCAAAAAAAAAAAAAAAATTCAGATCTGAGGTTGCAATATTTATCACTTAACAATAAATGCTAGATCAGTCCTGGATACAACCACAGACCAAGAGATCTCAGACCTAGTTCATTAACCCATCAGTATGTCATATTTTGGAACTAGACAAGGAATCTTTTAAGTTTTAATAAACCAGCCTATTAAAAACACACACTGCCCCTTCAAAAGCCTGAGTTCTAGCATGTCCAAGAAAGGGTGGCAACCATGTCCAAGAAATCCCTTCCCAATGGTGTTTTTAAACCACAGAACCTCACCTGTTTGTCGGTCCAAGGCCTGGGTGAATTGATTAATTGCAGGAGGCACTTTCAGCCGCTTATAGAGAATAGCCCTTTGCCGCTGCAGCCGGATGTAGCGGGGCCATTTGACAAAGCGGGTGAGGTCCCTCTTGGGTTGGATGTCCTGTCCTGTGAAGTAAAAAGTAACGAGGTGAGGCTCAAACTCCTTGTCAAGTTCAGGTATAGAAACACACGTAAGGACGTAGGTGCATCAGCGATCTTGGTGGTTTAAAATGTCATCACCAGATTCCAGGTAACAGATACTTTTACATCATTTGCACACAAACACCAAAGAGCACAGGGGAGACTATAGCGCCACCTCCTGTTCCTCAAGCAGCCAAGGTGCAGTCAGCCCCATCACCTCTGCGCTGGGAACCATCAGAGGTTCTTGATGGCCAAGCCAAACCCCGAAGGCCAGCACCTGGGCTCCACGGTGACACATGTTCAGGCTTACAGTGAGGCCACTGAGAAAGGACCGTCACTGCCCCACCTCTCAAAGCGAGAGATTAAGAGCCGAGCACAACTTAGTTAGAAAGTGGCAAAACGTGAGAATTCCAACCCAAGTAAGCCTCGACTCCGAACCCAGTGAAATCTAGGACAGAATACGACCTCCTGTTCAACGAGCTACTATTTTTCTCCATCGAGGATAACGTGAAAACACATCTCCCGTTTCTGACTCACCAATGCCAAAATTCTTCGGCCTCTTCTCGAACAGGGGGTTTACCACCTTCTTGGCCTCCTGCTTCTTCACCACGGCCGGGGCCGGGGCCACCTTCTTCCCCTTGGCCTTCTTTCCCTTCGGCTGGGCGAGAAAAAACACCAGCTTTCGCCACCGCCGCCTCTGCCGGTTTCTCTACAGACGGGCGGGTCCTGGGGGCCTGGCCCCCCGATGACGAGCGCGGACGGCGGGCAACCCCGCCACCCCCGAGGGCGAGCCCGACCCCTCGTGTGTCAGGCGCCGCGCGGGCCCAGAGGCCGCCCCCGGCTCGTACATCAGCGATCTTGGTGGTCAGGAACGTCCTCACCATCACTCAGATAGCAAATATTCTTTCACATCATCTGCACGAGCGCGGCGGGTCCGGGAACCCGCGGCGCCGCCCCTTCCCCGCGACGGGGACAGCGGGCCCCCTCTTCGGGGACCGGAAGGCTCCAAACAGTAGAAGCGAGAGAAGACACCGCGCGGGCCGAGACCCCCTGAGCGGGCCCTTAAGAAATGGAGAAGCTTCCCCCTCCCCCCCGGCCCCGTCCGTCCCCGAGCCCCGCACTGCGGCGCTGCTCTCCCCAGATCATCATCCCTCCCTGCCAGACGAAGGCGGGGAGTCTTATCCAGCCCCAAGGCCGCTGAGCGAGACCCTGCGGGGTGCCCTCGCTCTGGGCAGTGGAGGCACCCCCGCGCGGTCGCGCTTCGAGGAGGATGGCGGCGGATAGAGCTCAGACAGCCGAACCGGCACGACGAACAGAAAACAGACTCACCATCTTGAAAGGCTGGCGTAGAGAGAAAGGACCAAGAATTGTGGGTAATTTGTAGGGGCCCTCGGAGATCGCGAGAACTGGCGCCGGCGCGGGATTTCGAATTTAAAGAGAAAGAACTTCGTTTTCCCTCCCGCTCGGTGGGGGGCGGTACCTAGAGCAGGAAGAACCGTGGGAGCCCAGGGAAGGGCCGCGGAGACTGACTCGGAGGGGCGCGCGCTTGTACCCCCCCACTCCGCCCCCAGCGAGGTACCCAGCGGGCTCCGGCTCTGCGGACCTACTGCGGGAGCTGGGGCGGCGTGGCTCGGTCGGCGTCCTTCTGGTGGGGTTTACTCCCCTGCGAGTTCGGTCGGGGAGCCTCGCCGCGCGGGAGCGCGCGCGCAGCCCGGAGGCACCTGGCGCGGGGCGGGAGGGCGGCCGGTCCCGGGACCGAGGAGCCCCGACGCCTCGTGGGGCGGCCCTCCAGGGCCCGCGGCGTGGAGACGGGGGCGGCAGAGTCGGGGTAGGACCCGAGCGGCTCCTCGGGTCCCCGCGGGCCGGCGGGGACGTGCGTCAGCCTAGCCTCCGAGAGGGCTGCGCCGGCGCCGGCCGAGTGGTCGTCGGGGTCCGGCCGAGGGGGCGCGGACCAGAGGAGAGCCCGTAGCGCGTGTTTGGCGGAAAGGGCATCTCCGGAGAGCCTGCCCGAGGGTCCTACCCAGGCTGGCGCCTGCAGCGGAGAGAGAGGCCGGAGCTGGCCTGCTCACACCCAGACTCGCTTCCAGGTGCCCCCCGCCCCGTCCTGCGCTGCCTGAGGCCCCGCGATGGCCCAGCAGAGAGCCCTGCCGCAGAGCAAGGAGACGCTGCTGCAGTCTTACAACAAGCGGCTTAAGGACGATGTCAAGTCCATCATGGACAACTTCACCGAGATCATCAAGACCGCCAAGGTGGGTGGGGGCCGCCGGTCTCCGGCTCCCTTGAAGACCAATACAGTAGTGAGCAGAGCTGAGTCGGGGCGTCCGCTTTCAACAGCACCCACTGCACGTGGGTGCTCCCAGCCAGGTGGTGGCCATCCTGCAGTGAGCCCCCAGGCAGGGCCCTCGTCCCCATGGGGAGAACGTTTGGGAGGGCCGGGGGTGGGGGTGTGGGGGAGAGGGTGACCGCAGCAAAAAGGGAGACAGGTAAATCTCCCGGCTAATTACAGGCCCTGGGGAGACATTTGTATGGGACTCCAGTCACAGTGCCGGGATCCAGCGTCACTTACTAGCATCAAGGGGTTGGATGAGGTCTTGACTTCTCAGTGCCTCATTGTCCCCTGCAGCATGGCGTCCTTGTCTGGCTGGATGTGTTTATCCGCCTAAAGCAGTCACTAGGGACTATTGTGAGCGCATGTGGTCGGG